GCTCATCCATCAATTGCGTCCCCTCTTTCCTCTCACAGGTAACAGTATCACACTGGCTGAATCAAGATCGGGGCAAACTGATCTCTGAGGAGAGATTTACATGTATAGTGCGTCCTTGAGCGTGATAAGAGATATTGCCCGTTTCCTGTTTGTTTTGTTTGCAAAGATTTATTTTGAGACGGAGAAGGAGGTGGGGGTGTGGGTGCGGAGAAGAGAGCAAAGGCAGACGTTTGTTGTATAATAGATGTTTAAGTTCTCATTCGTGTTTAAGTGGGGTTGTGAGTGCGGGTTTGTGTTTTGTCCTAGACGCTTAGAGAACGTGTAAGAACGGATAGGTTTTGTGACAAAATACACACACACACACGCTCACACACACGCACGCACACACACACACACACACACACACACACACACACACACACACACACACACACACACACACGCACACACGGGTATGTGTGTGTGTGTACGCGTGTGTGTGTGTGTGCACGTGCGCGCAATTGCGTTTAATTTATGTAGTTTTAGCACAATTAGATATAAAGACAAAGAAACTGATGAATTCTCCAGTTGTTTCTGCATTAGGACAGAACGGAGTCACGATACATACGTATACACCTGCCTGTGGAATACACCGCTCCTCTCCTGACTGACACGACAGTTAGCCTAGACAAAGACTGTTCATACGATCTCACCACAATATGACGTCATTTTACTTTTTTCATGTTGTGATCCCACTGTTGAGTCGGAAGATTGATCTCGATGACATCACGTTTCCGCTCAAAGCTCGACCGTAATATGAGAAAGTGTTTGTTTTCCCAGGGATTTTGTTTTAAAGATAATATGAAGATAGTTTATTGTTTTGTTTTGTATTTGTTTTGTTTGGGTTTTCCTTTTTTTTTCTTTTTGTTTGTTTTGGTAAGTGTTTTACGGCGCTCACAACTACAGAAAGTTATATGAGCGCTCGGGACACATTATACATTTTAAGTTTTGGTAGGAATTAATCTATTTTGAATTTTGCTCGGTTGGCGGCGGAAGCCTACTCTTATCGATTTTGGACCACCTAGGGATCTTTAACGGGCGCAACTAGCACACAGAACCTCCGAGATTTGTTGCCCTTATCCGAGAAGGCTAGGTGTTAGATCTCACATACCATAATTTAAGACCAGGGGTGAGGCTGAAAGACAGCAGTATGAAGGAGCCAAGGAATAGCAGTAGATGCTCTGCAGAAAAAGTCAGGAGCCCTGAAGAGAGGGGGCAAAGGACTTGAGGGGGAAATGGTAGGGGGAGAAAGTGGAGACTAAAGCAGACGACAAAACATTCTTAGAGAGCAGGAATGGAGGTGAAAGGAGACAATTTTTAGAGAAGAAAATCTTCCGTCGTTATCCGGATTTGAACCAATGACCTATTGAATGAGAGGCGAACACTGTAACCTCTAGACCACGAGATCCCTGTTTTGTTCCTCAATTAAAATTTCTGGTGCACGTCATAAACGGACGTATGGCCTCGAACTGTGCTCACTTTGGTGGTAATATAAGCCTCCATTGGCGCAAAATCCAGTATCGCATCAACATGCCACCAAGACGAAAGCTGAGAGACGTTGATCGTGCAAGAGCTATGGCATGGCTGCAGGATGAAGTTGGAACCCGAGAAAGTTGCCAGAAAGCTTGCAGTGTCACAAGCTGTCATTGTTCGCTTGAGGCAGCGCCATCAAGCCACTGGACCAGTCCAAGAACGTCCACGAGCATGTCGACCCAAGAAAATCACTCAGAGTGTTTGCAAATGGCCCTTAACTTATGTTGAAGTCTGTAAAAGACGATTATCTATAGTACCACCTGCTGTCTATGTTATTGTGTTGCCATATCACAAAGGGTTGCGTTCCATCCATTTCTCTTATTTGGCCTGTCTGTAAAAGAATTTTAAAAGACGTATTGACTGTAATACTCTCTAAGTAAATCACTTTTTAAAATAAGACTAGGACTGAACAGGGGACGGGAAAATGGCTTAACCATAAAAAATATGGCTTAACCATTAAAAACTGTCGCTACTGCTGAGAACTTAAACTTTCTGATAACAACCTCACTCGCGTTGTGCACAGCAGCAGTCAATGCTATCGCCTGTTGACATAAGCAATGTTGTGGGAGGTCGTTATAAAAATGCAAGATTTAGTTCGAAATATCTTGATTTCACCTTAGACCTCTAGTGCAAACAGTCAGTGTTTGCATAAACGCTCATAAAATATGCGACAGTGTAGGAGTATCCACTTTTCTTATTGTGTGTCTTCTTTTATTCCCTCCCCCCTCCCCTTTTTTAAAAACAGAATGATCAGTGGGAGGTTTAAAATGTTATGAGTGATGGCACATATCCAAAGCTTTTTTTTTTGGGGGGGGGGGGGGT